AGGCAAATCGGTGAAACGACCGAGGAGGAGAAGATTTCCAACCGACATGTATGAAAATGATTGAGGATCATTTTTCCATTTTGTATTGACATTTACGAGCTTCCTGTTTGTCAGAGGGCGGGGCCATAATAACATTATTTTCATGTCTTGACTTGAGGAACATGTGTACCAAATTTCATGGCTCTACGACAAACTTGACCTCCAAAACTCCCATAGGGGTATTATTTTGGCTGTTGTAGGTGGCGCTGTTCTGGCATTTTTTGAGGCCCATAAAAATAAACACCAAAATAATCAAGTGTTTGCCAGGTCTGATTTTTGGGCAAAATTTAACAAGTTTTCATGCATGTTCAGGGGGTCAAATTAAGGCAAACGGAGCAGGAGAAAAAAGAAAAAAATAAGGATTTTTATTTCGACGTCTCGAGCAAAAACAATATAGGTTTCAATGGCACGTGATACATCATTTTAAAGCGTTTGAGTTTACGCACGCAACAGTCGCTGACGCATCTTTCACGCACCGCCCCCCCTTGCATTCACCATTGTGAAAGCAATAGGCCCTTACCCTGTTCGGGCCTTACAAGAATATAGGGACTGGAAAAGTAATTTAGAAATTCAAATATCTCTGAACTACAGGTATCAGTTAAAGAAGGATTGGAAAAGAACACGATAAATCAAAGAGAGGGAGAGGATGAAACCAAAATGACAAATACATTTGATGCGGAATGTTAACAAACCGGATCTGATCCGTCTGTGACTCAGAGACAAAAATAACAAATCAGAGACAAAGAGGAACTCCTCACGTCACTCTTTAAATGACTCTGAGAAACATACAACAGATTTGTTTCTAGAAATGAAACTTACAAACATAAATGATTATGGTCCTTTGTCACATTTGGTTTAATAAGTCTCACTTTGTTTCTATTCTGTGTAAATAATGTTTTAATCAAATGTGTCACAAACTTCAGCTCAGTCAAAACATCAAATAAACTCCCTTTATAAAACAGCTTTGTTCAGCCAACTTCTAAAGGACGGAGAGGGATTTGAACACATGAAAATTATTATTTTACTTCTGATTATTCAAATCTAATTTTTGGCCTTTTTCAAACTTTTGTACCTTTAGTTTGAACAAACCAAGTTTATCTTTTTCTCATTTAGGAACTTTGAACTGTTTGATTCTCTGATCTGCTGTCGGTGAATCCACAACTTTGGAAAGTCCGTTCTCAAACACATTGAATTGAAAGATTTTAGACTTCTTCCTTATTATGCTAAAGCTAGAGATTTTATACTTGCTTCTTTATTATGCTAAAGTTAGAATTATTGTCCAAAGAACTAACAAATCTAACTTCTACAGCAGTTAGAAAAAAAATGGTATATTTAAATTAATACCCATGATATAAATCTGTTGAAACAAGACTAAATGTTGATGGTGTGAGCCTCAGCTGGTGTGTGTGAGTCTCACCTGGTGCGTCTAAACTGGGCCTTAATCCCAGTCAGAGATACCGACTGAGATAGTTGGCCTCACCTCCACACACAGCTTGGGCTCTGAACCCAACTCCTTGAGAGGGTTGGACGCTCCACTTCTCTGGTGTTTCTCGCGGGGAGAGGCGGCGAGCTGGGGTGGCCATACTCATGGTCTCTGGTCGAGAGTTGGATCCTCTACAGGGGAGGAAGCCGGTCAGACCTGGCAGACCCAAGCGTGTTGTGAGGGTCTGCTGGGAACGTCTCGCTGAGCCTCCTGTCAGACGGACTTTCAACTCAAACCTCCGGGAGAGCTTCTCCCAGGTCCTGGCGGAGGAGAGGGACATCGAGTCTGAGTGGACCATGTTCTCCTTCTCTATCGCCGATGCGGCGGCTCGTAGCTGTGGTTGCAAGGTCTCTGGTGCTGGTCCCGGCGGCAGCAGAACCCGGTGGTGGACACAGGCAGTAAGGGATGCCGTCAGACTGTAGAAGGAGTCCTATCGAGCCATGATTGTTCGTGGGACTCCTGAGGCAGCTGTCCAGTACCGGCAGGCCAAGCGTGCCGCGGCCCTGGCTGTTGCAGAGGCAAAAACCCGGGACTGGGAGGAGTTTGGAGAGTCCATGGAGCATGACTATCGGTCGGCCTCAAAGAGGTTCTGGCAAACCGTGTGGCGCCTCAGGAGGGGGAAGCAGTTCTTTGCCAACACCGTGTCGGTCGGTGGAAGGAATACTTCAAGGTTCTCCTCAATCCCTCCGTCACCTCCTCCTGCAGGCAGAGGCTGAGGATGTTGGGGTGGATACTTCCATCTCCCTGGGGTCACCAAAGTGGTTGGCAGCCTCCATGGTGGCAAGGCGCCAGGAGTGGATAAGATTTGTCCTGACTATCTAAAGTCTCTGGATGTTGTAGGACTGTCTTGGCTGACACGTCCCTGCAACATCGCGTGGCGATCGGGGGCGGTGCCAATGGAGTGGCAGACCGGGGTGGTGGTCCCTCTCCAAGGTACTGGAGGGGAGACTACGACCGATGGTCGAATCTCGGATTCCAGAGGAGCAGTGTGGTTTTGGTCCCGGCCATGGAACACTGGACCAGCTCTATACTCTCCATCGGCCACTCGAGGGTTCATGGGAGTTTGCCTGTGTTCCCTGGGGTGTCCTTTGGGGGTGTTCTTCGGGAGTACGGGGTCCGGGGTCCTCTGCTGAGGGCCGTCCGGTCCCTGTATGACCGGAGCCAGAGCTGTGTTTGCAACAGCAGTAAGTCAGACCTGTTCCCGGTGCATGTTGGCTTCCGCCAGGTCTGCCCTTTGTCACCGGTTCTGTTCACTGTCTTTATGAACAGAATTTCTAGGCGCAGCCAGGGGCCGGAGGGGGTCCGGTTCAGAGACCACAGCCAGGGGCCGGAGGGGGTCCGGTTCAGAGACCACAGCCAGGGGTCGGAGGGGGTCCTGTTCGGAGACCACAGTATTTCATCCCAGCGGTTTGCGGACGATGTTGTCCTGTTGGCTCCACAGAACCAGGACCTGCACCATGCACTGGGACGGTTTGCAGCCTAGTGTGAAGCGGCTGGGATGAGAATCAGCACCTCCAAATCTGAGGCCATGGTGCTCGACCGGAAAAAGGTGCCTTATCCTCTCCAGGTGGGGAGGTCCTTCCTCAAGTGGAGGAGTTCAAGTATCTCGGGGTCTTGTTCAGGAGTGAGGGAAGGATTGAGCGTGAGATTGAAGGCGGATCGGTGCAGCGTGCGCAGTGATGCGGTCGCGGTATCGGGCCGTTGTGGTAAAGAGGGAGCAGCGTCTGTAGTCAAAGCTGTATCGGGCCGTTGTGGTGAAGAGGGAGCTGAGCTAAAAGGCAAAGCTCTTGATTTACCTTTCAAACTTTGTTCCCTCCCTCACCTATGGTCATGAGCTTTGGGTAATGACCAAAAGAACAAGATCGTGGATACAAGCGGTCGAAATGAGCTTCTTCCAGAGTGGCTGCTTCCTTAGAGAGCTCAGTCACACGGGAGGAGCTCGGAGTAGAGCCGCTGCTTCTCCACGTCAAGAGAAACCAGTTGAGGTGGCTCGGGCATCTGTTCAGGATGCCTCCTGGACGCCTCCCTGGGGAGGTGTTCCGGGTACGTCCCACCGGGAGGAGGCCTTGGGGAAGACCCAGGACACACTGGAGGGACTATGTCTCTCAGCTGGTCTGGGACCGCCTTGGGGTCCCCCGGGATGAGCTGGAGGAAGTGTGTGAGAGGGAAGTCTGGGCGTCTCTGCTTAGACTGCTGTCCCCGCGACCCAGCAACGGATGAAGCGGAAGAAAATTTAATGGAATGGATGGATGTTAGTCCCAGAGAGAGAGACCAGAGAGAGAGACCAGAGGGACTAGAGAGAGAGTAGAGAGAGAGAGAGAGAGAGCAGATAGAGACTAGAGAGAGAGAAGAGAGGGACCAGAGAAAGACCAGAGAGAATAGAGAGAGAGTAGAGAGAGAAGATATAGAGTGGAGACGAGAGAGAGCCCAGAGAGAGAGAAGAGAGGGACCAGAGAAAGACCAGAGAGTGGGAGAGACAAGAGAAAGAATAAAGAGAGGCCAGAGAGGTTAGAGACATAAAGCAGAGAGAAGGACCAGAAAGAGAGCAAAGGGACGGAGAGATGAATGACACGCAAGAGAACTCTGAGGAGCACAGGGACTGGCCTCCTGCTGGTTCCAAAGTCCCTCTTTAGTATCTCCTGCACTTATTTTTGAGTTCCTTCAAAATCAGGATTCATAAATAAATGTGAAAAATCGAGGGTTTGTAATGTGTGTTTTACATTAAAATAATAAAACAAACTATAAGGACACAGATCAGGGGATTGAGTGAGGACAAAAAGGTTAAGCACATTTTATTCATACATTTTAGCTTATTTTGTACTTTGAGTAGTTTTCACTCGTTATTCAAATCTGTTGTATACAGCATTCAATAACTTGTATTCTTTGAGTATAACAACAGGAAATTCTACAGACAGAGTCTAAAGACAGCGTCAAATAAAACAGCGGTAAAAGACAGCGGTGGTCGTGCAGCGCCGTGCGCCCGCTTCACTCAGGCAGTTCCTAAAACAAAGTTGTTTCATTTTAAAATACAAACATAAAGCTAAATGGCGAGTAGGGCCAGTGCGACAGACATACCAACTTCAGGTAGGACATTCTCTCAGGAGTTCTCACTGGGGAGGGAATGACTCCCAGTTTCAGAGGACCACCGGGGACCACTCACACCCGGTCTACAATGAAGCGCCACCAGCTGCGCGTTGAAAGCTCCTCCAGAGCCATCAGCGACCTAAGCAACATGTCTGATGAGGACCAAGCTTCACAACTATAATATCTACATTTCTTAATATTACCTGCTACGCGGCTACCGACACCCACACACACACACAAGCCGAGCGACCAGCACCCGGAAGTACAGATGGCAAGCGGGACAACGTCAATAATCTGCAGGGTTTTCTAGTGTGGCGTCTGGCGCCCCCTGCTGGTGGGCGGATAAACTGTCCACGCTACTACATAAATACTAAATATCGTAAATGTCCCAAACCTGTCGTCGTTCGAAACCCTCTGGCGAGCTCTTGATGACCAGCAGCAGGAAGATGTCGTCCCAGGGTTTCTCACTCTTGTCGGTGACGTCCAGCAGCATCGGAAAGTGGCGGCAGTGACGGAGGGAGAGGAAGTCCTGAGTGACTGCCCAACAGACCCTCCTGCATCGGCAAGGAAGAACTCATAAGAAAACCCAGTGGGAAAAAGTGAGTGAATCTCTTCAGATTGAAATAAAATTGGATTATGATTTGGGAAATTGTCTTATTGTGGTCACTTACATAAAATGTTGACAGTGATGTTTGACAGCCATGTGGAAATGTCATTAATGAGCTGGAACAGGAATGGTTTCTCACCCAACATCTGTACTTCTTAGCAGGTTTTCCCGACGTTTCGTCCTTCTTCTATATTGTAAAGCGTAACCTTGGTCTGTAAAATGCGCTATATAAATAAACATTACTTATTTACTTACTTCTAAAGGACTTCTTCAGGGAATGAATGCTCAGACTGCGCGTTTGGAGATGTTTAACCTCTGGGTGTGTTAGCCACACCCTAATCCTGATGCTAACTCATTAACAATCTAAGTTCTGTTTGATGTAGAAGGGAGCAGGTCTAACGACCCTGCTGAGGCTAACGACCCTAACTCCTTAGCTTAGCATGTCACAGACCTATTGTCTGCTGGGATACTCAAGTGCAGGTCTCACCCTCTCACCCCTCCTAACTCATTAGCATGTCACTGACCTTGTCCCAAGTTAGGGCGGTGTTTTTAGGATGTCGTCATAGATGCGAGGCAAAACAAATCTTAACCCTCCTCCTCTGTTAAGAGAAGGTTTTTGTTTCCTCACAAAAATGGCTTCTTTCACCCCTCTCTCAAACCAATTCTTCTCCCGAGCCAGAATTTTAACCTCTGTGTCATCCACCGTGTGGTTGGAGGCCTTGAGGTGGAGATGAACAGCCGACTGTGGCCCACTAGAGTTTTCTCTACGATGTTGGTAAAGTCGTTTCTGTAGAGTTTGTTTGGTTTCTCCAATATAGTGGTCAGTGCACTCCTCTTCACTACATTTAATTGAATACACCACATTGCTCTGTTTGTGTCTGGGTGTTTTGTCTTTGGGATGCACTAATTTCTGTCTTAACGTGTTGAAAGGTTTGAAATACACAGGGATTTTGTGTTGCCTGAAGATTCTTTGTAGTTTCTCTGAAACTCCCGCCACATTCGGTAAGGACACCCCTCTCCTCCTACTTTCTTCTGTCGGTTGGACTGTGTCTCTGGCCTTTCTCGTCCTTTGGGCTTTAGTAAAAGACCACTTGGGGTAGCCACATCTGGAAAGTGCTCCCTCCGAGCTAGTGGGGACCTGGTGGGCTCGGTGTTGAAGCGTTCTAATGACCCCGAGTTTGTGTTGTAGCGGATGATTTGAATCAAAGGCCAGGTACTGGTCAGTGTGAGTGGACTTTCTGAAGACCTCAGTCTCTAATAGTTCGTTCTCAAGTATGATGACCTTACAATCTAGAAAGGCGAGTACACTCTCCTTAGCATCCTCAAGAGTGAAATTTATAAAAGGATCCACAGAGTTAATGTGGTCTGAAAGTTCCGTAGTGCAACCATAATGTAAGTCTGGACTGTCAAGTCCTGCCTTAGTCCTGGATCTAGGACAAGAGATAAGATAAGATATTCCTTTATTTGTTCCACAGCGGGAAAACTTCAGTGTCATCTACAGCCTGAGTCCTGGATCTATAGCCTCAGTCCCGGGTCTACAGCCTGAGTGTTGTCAAAAATAGAACTCAAGCCAACAGTTTTATCAGGACGTCCGATGACGTCATATGGTCTGAGACTGGATTCCGGGTCTGGTCTCTGGTCTGGATTTTGGTCTTGGTTTTGGTCTTCCATATCAGCTTTAGCAAACAATGCCCCCACCCGTGCGGCGCCTGTGTGGGACTTAGACAAACGCAGCGGCTGCGGGGGTTCCATAGGTCAAAATTGCCACACATGTGTTTTTTAGTGTGTCAGGCCTTGTCCGTGGTCCTTCTCTGAATTCCACTAAATCTAGGCTTAATATTGCACAAAGACATGGTATTCAAACACCTACTGAAAATCATTAGTATACAACATTTTAATTCTACAACATGAGTCATGCATCTACAGCCTCAGTCCTGGGTCTACAGCCTCAGTCCTGGGTCTAAAGCCTCAGTCCTGGGTCTACAGCCTCAGTCCTGGGTCTACAGCCTCAGTCCTGGGTCTACAGCCTCAGTCCTGGGTCTACAGCCTCAGTCCTGGGTCTACAGCCTCAGTCCTGGATCTACAGCCTCAGTCCTGGGTCTACAGCCTCAGTCCTGGGTCTACAGCCACAGTCCTTGATCTGCAGCCTCAGCCCTGGTTCCTCTTTGATGCAGGAGGGTCTAAGGATCAGCTGACAGTTATTAACATCCTGGACAGTGGTCATCCTGCTCCCTATGGACCAATGTCTCTATGTGTTTGTTGCATTTTCGTTGGAACCATTGATACCATTGATACCATTGATAGTTGATTCTCTGATCTGTGTTGGGAAATCCACAGAATCGTAAAGTCCTCCGAGATAACTCCTGTTGTTGATTTACACAATGAAAACATACTGTCCCATTTCAAATCTGCATTTCATGGGAAAAATTCTTGAAAAAGTTGCCTACTGAATTTATAATAATGAATAACTCATTTGATATGTTCCAGTCTGGCTTTAGAGCCCACCACAGCACTGAGACTGCTCTAGTGAAGTTTTGCCTGTGCTTACAACTGAAGAGTTTTATCTTTACTTTTTAAAGCACTGTTGTTATTAGGCCCGAGCCCCAACTGGGGTAAGGGCCTATTGCTTTTCTTTTGTAACTGTCATAAGTCTCCGGGCTGCGCCCGGAGATTGTGACCTGCACGCAACGGCACGTGCGCAGACACTGATAGATCCGTGCCGAAGGCACAGAATGGCTTTGCTCTTGCTGTAGTACACAGTGAAATGATTGAGGTCCTATTAAAGGGGTGGGTTACTTCAACGTCTTACGTCCCCCAACCCCGACGGCGCATGCCCAAACACTGATAAAACAGTGCAAGAGGCACTGAATGGCTTTGCTCCTGCTGTAGTACACAGTGTAATGAATGGGGTCCTATGGGGGGGGTGGGGGACCTCATGATGGTGAGCTGACGCGCTCGTCAATCACCGAGAACCCAATAGTTGCGTTCGTCTTGTCGTTTTCTTTAAAACGACGTATCATTTGTATTATAGGTTACTATGGAAACTGTTGTATATTTTAATATTTGACCATTTTGAACGATGGTCCTAATTTTCATCATAGCCAAACAAGACCTGTTCTCTCAGACAGTTTAAGTCTCAAGGACACAGGATAATCAGACATGAGTCATAAAGATAAAATGCTGTTTAAACAGGGCGAATTATTAACTTTAAATAATAAACATTTTGACGAGAGCAAAAGTTCAGAACCTGATCTTGAGGCAGACTGGGAGATTCACCAACGGCATTCTGACGCCTCCCAGTGGACAAGGGACGTCAGCACACCCGGAAAACTCCACCCTTGGACGCATATGGATGACGTCATCGGAAGTCTCCCATATATGAGCCCCCTGAAGGTCTTTTGAGGTCAGACAGGACAGGGCAACTCACAGGGAGAGAGCAGGCATAGATTAGGAGCACTCTTTTGTTGAATATTCTGTATCTGATTGTAAAGATAATTAAATGCAGATGTTAAACTTGGAGAATCTTTAGTCTGATTTCTGTACCAAATTGTGGACACGTCAGCCAAAGGGAATTATTGGCTACATTTGGTGACCCGAGACGTGATTTGATACAGAAAGAAGACGCAAGATGAGCTCAGATAGATAGACTGGGTCTGTTGGGTCTTGGGGCTCTCTACTGCAAAACACAGGTAAGCAGATACCATTTCTAAAGTCTGCACATTGTTTTAAATAGAAGACAGAGAGATCTCGGCCCAGCATGACTGCAGCGTGGCAGACCGCCGTGACGGGGCGTTCTATCGGACGCGATAGAACAATAGTCAGGTTTTTCGACGTTTTTGAACCTTGAGGGAAGCATGGTCCCCTCTAAAAAAGAATATACAGGAAAAGAGCCACAGGGTTTATAAGTGCAAAAGAGGCACACCGTTTAGAGTGCAAAAGAGGCACACCGTTTTAAAGTGCAAAAGAGGCACAAGTGTTTAGAGAAATAGGATTAGAAAATAGGGACAGATTTAGGGTCAGAAGTGATAGGATAATAAAACCTCCATATCCCCCGGGGGGCGGGAAAAAGGGTACAATTAATTTAAACAGAAAAAAGCCAAGTATTTAAAATGTGGATTCTGATACTAACGATCTGATTAATGAGAAAAAAAGAGAGCCACTTGGCTGTAGTATACGAGTTTCATGTGAAGAAATGACAAAAGATCAGTCTGGGAGTTTTTCTCTTGTATTGTGATGTAATGTTTCGATAGTTACAGAGAATCAGGAAAAAAAAAAAAAAAGATTCTGCTGGAACTCTCGATACATTGATCAGGTAGCAAATGGTAATGTTTTCCATTACTGACGTATTTAAGGATAAAATGTAAAGTGTCGTTTGACGTGAGAAAAACTTTTACCACTGATTAAAACCTTGTCACGAGAAAAACGAGGAAATTATTTCAGACTCCATGTTTCCTTTGTTCGGGAGGCCCCTCCCCTCCCTCGTTCTGTCTTCTCTCTCTCCCCTTCCTCGTTCTCTCTCCCTCGTTCTCTCTCTCTCTCTCTCTCTGTCTTTCTCTCTCTCTCGTGAAGAAAGAAATTTTTTTGTAGAAAATTACATTTATACACACGATAATGTTACTGACATGGAGTCATAGGATCACAGAACTTTGAGTTAGATTATAAAGAGGCATTATTTTATTTTTTATTTTTTTATCTCCAAGGCGTCTGGACAAGTTTTTTTCCCTACATTTTGGTGATATAAAAGTTAGAATGATCTTAGAGAGCATTATACTTTTGGAAAAATAGGGCTTAGGATAGCAGTTGAATGCAGATTTGGTTTTCAGAATTTAATGTTTAAAATGTTAATATTAATTATTTCATAGGTCTATTTTGATTTGTAATTAATC